ATCTAACTATCTAGCCCCAAATCACACTGCAAAGACTCATCACAGTGTGTAAGATGAAATAGTAAAATAATCAGTAGGAACATAAGTAGGCAAAAGAAATATGTCTGGAGGTAATAATTTACTCCAAAATCAAACCAGCATGACTGTTTCTCTTTCAACCCAAAATGGGATTCTTTTTTTCTAATCATAATCAAACATCTTTCCACTTTTTTGTGATAAATGAACATTTAGTTTCTAAACAAACTGGGTGCAGGAAGACTGAGTGATAAAAACCATTAGTACCGTCTCCATCATCTATTGTCTCTAAATAAACTGTTGAACGCACAGCTAGTGCCCAAAGATTACTGTGCCCCTTATAGGTCAGGTCATTCATTCATCCCACAAATCAGATAATGTGTTTGATAGTCAGTGTAGTTGTTTAGTAGGTCTAACCTTAAGGGAAAGAAAGATAAAATCAGTTAATGGAAACTGCAGAATAAAAAAAAACATAATAAAAAGCTGGGCTAGAGAGTGTACAACCGTAAAAGTGCCTTGCAAGAGAAACAAGGGCTGGGTTTATTTTTTGAAAGCTAAAGATAAACCTAAACTGAAGGGTATACAGAAAAACATGTGAATGCACAATTAACCATAATCTAAACTAAAAGCAAGTTTAACTATTGTTTTTTCATTGCAGATTTTTAAACAAAATGCTTATTTAACAATCAAAAGGCTAATCCAGTTTCTCATGCCTAAGTAAAGGCTGGAACATCAGAATATTACATAATGTTACATATTTGTAACTGATGGGGAAGGGGTTATTTTGTTTGTTTTATTGTATTATATCTTTGTGCTTCACTACTTGACTTGTTTTATTGTAGTTGTCATGCTACTTTCGCTATTTGTGAAGCTTATATTTCTTTTATTTTAACAAACTTTTGTATGAGCAACTTGTTCAACTGGCTTCTATAAGCCTACCTTGCAACATCTTATAACTGTGCTCTGTTTTTTGTTTATGTAAAACTCAATAAAAAATATCTTGAGTTAAAAAAAAAAGGCTAATCCAGTTTCTCATGGCTAAGTAAAGGCTGGAACATCAGAATATTACATAATATTACATATTTGTAAATTTCAGATTGTAATATTATACGTCATGCTGGAATTCATGCATTTAAATATTGTTTTGTTTTTAGTAAGGCAATCAATTTAAATGGTTTACAGTTAATGCAAAAGCTTACTGTTAAAATTGAGTAAGAAAATTTAACAAGTTTGATTCATTTTAAACTCTTTACACTTGTTAATTCATAAATTGGCCAACAGCTTCATAATTATAGAAAAGGTTGTTAGTGGAAGCTCTACTGTTTGCCAGACTAATGAGCACAAAAATGTAGCTAAAAGCCTCAGCGACATAATTAAAAAAAACAAAAACAAAAACAAGATGCCCCACTGGTGTAAAAAGAAAAAGGTAACTCGGCTCCACACTTACAGATACCCCCAAGGGGGATGTGTTCAAAAGCTTCAAAGTAAATAGTTTTTATAGAGACAGGATAACCAAAGTTAAGCTGTGCTGAAGTCTTCAAACATGAAATGTTCTTATTTACTTTAACCTCTTCCCTGTGGAAAATGTTAATTGATTTTGGGTCATCATCTTGCTTTGCCAAAGACCAAGTTATATCAATCTTTGTTATTATAGCTTTGACTATGGATACGAAACATTTGGGAAGCAGCACTTAAATTTAAGTTATTTTCTATGATATATAACACTTTCATTATCTTGGTATTTGGAAGAGTGGTGGAAAGTCACTGGCTTTTAATGTGGCTTTTCCACCGGAGCGCCTCTAGTTCCAAATCAAGGCTGGTGTTTAAGCAATTGGATGCGAGGGTTTGCTTTTCTTATAAGAGCAGAGTTAGAGCCGCTTCATTATATCAATTATCTCTTCCACTTCATGCATTTTCCTCCCCTATTTATTGGCTATTTTTGTAAATGATCATAGTGTATAAGGTAAGCCATAACACAAATTATTAATCACAGGATTCTTTCAAAAAGATCCCATAATATCATACCTTTATTCGGCTTTAAACAAAAAAAGCGTGTTTTTTATACACTTGACAACCCCCGAAAGCTGATCTCTCATGCACATTCTAAACATTTAAAACCAAACATTTAAAACCAAAACAAACAACTTTTGACTTATTAGCACAATCTTTTGATAGTAAACCTAAATGGCGATAAACAGTTGAATGAAATGAAATGGGGTTTAAGGTTTTAATAGAAATCAGCTAAGAGCAAAGCTCTTTTTAGGGCACTGACCTATTTAGGCTCAATGACAGGTGGATTTAACTTTAACTGGGAGAACATAAGAGAAAACAAATGTGTTATTCTGGGTTGAACTGGTATGAATCTACTGTTTAAATACAGTGGTTTTCTAGAATTCATTTTTACTGTTTTTTATTGGTCAAAAACTAAACTTTAAATTCAGTGGTTACAGGTTTTTGATTGGGTGCCGTTTCTAGATAACCTCCAATTAACTCTGATAAAATACCATTTAAAGCTTTTTTTACTTTTTTTACTAATGTTAATCAGAAGCTAAAAATTAGTAAAGAAAGCTGCATTTCAGAACAGCAGACAAATTATTTTTCTGAACATAGTTGAAATAGATGCCTATTTGACCAGGACTGGCATCCAACTAATATCCCTCTGGAAGATAACGTGGTTTTAACTTGTACTTTAAAACAGATGTCCTCTGTCATAATTAGGCAACACCGGGCCCTCTAACCACCATCAGTAGGGCAATGCAATAAAGTGCTTCAACGACTCAGACTGACTGGGAATTTGGTGATGTAAACAGTCCCATTTTTGCTACATCCAGTATCTTAAGCGGAGAGGGAGAATCATCATCATCAGGTTAGAATGTTTGCAAGATTATGCATGAAAATTTGGTGATGCTGCAATATCTGAGTAGCAATGTAGGTGTGCACAGTGAGGCAGTGGGTAGCAATACTGCCTTGTAGCAAAAAGTTTCCGGGTTTGATTCTCGGCCAGGGGTCTTTCTAACCTGACTCTGCCAGATGGATTTGCTCCGCGTATCCATCTGGAAACCTTCCGTTGAAGTAATTTTGGGAAGGGGCGAAAATACTGGTTAGCTGATTGGCCTATGTTGGTGATAGACGGGCCAAATAAACCAATCAGATCAACGAAGCATATGACGTACTAACAGAACGACGATGAAAACACAACCACAAGCCAGGCTACTCTTGCCGAAACCACTCGGGAGAAGAGCAAAAACATCTGTTCCTCTGAGAAAAGCCTCCAGAACAGTGTTTTGCTCTTCTTTCAGTGAAGAAATACAG